AGCCTTTCCCACCCCACCTCCCATTCCAGCCGGGATCGGACAGGCGCGCCCGCGCCACCGGGTGGTCGTCACGGAGGGCACCGCGCAGGAAAGAAAAGACCTCCAGAGAAGGAACCGAGTTCCCCGCGGGGCGGGGCGGGGCGGGGCGGGGCGGGGGCGGGGTCCGCCCAAGCCAGGAGCGGACCGAGCGGCAGTTCGGAGCCGGACCCCTCCCCGCCCGGGCACCTGGTATTCAGTCACCACCCGGGGCCACACCTCTGCGGCCCCGCCTTGGGCCCTGACCCGGGTCTGGCAGCCCCAGGCGCCTGAGTGATGGGCGAAGGAGGCCTCGGCCCAGCTGCCACCGACCGGGCAGCTGTGTGACCTTGGAAGTCACTTAGCCTCTCCGAGCATCTGTTTCCTTATCTCTCAAACCCGGATAATACCACTATGTTGTAAGGGTGGTGTGAGGATTAGCAAAAATACATACAATGCATGATTTATCGGAGCTCGTGGGAATTAAAAACTAGCAATGCTGTGATTATTAATAGTTATCACAGCAACACCAAGTGGAGGGTCTCAACAACTCTGGGAGCTTCAGGTGCGCTATGACTAAGTTGTGGAGGCGATTTGGTTGCCATTGTTTTCATCATCATAAACAGAGAGGAAATTTTCACAAAAATCCAGAAAAGGAGTAGAGTATGTCTGTCAGGAACAGCTGGAGTAGCAAAAGAGGAAAACGCAGAAAACCAAACACAGGCTGGCGATGAGCATCCCCCCCACACCCTGGTTACCTGTGCCAGGTGCGTTCTAGAAAGTGAGCCGGATGACTCTGGTCCCAGCCAAGGACCCAGGGTGCAGGGAGGACACAACCGTGGCCCCTAGGGCACTTCCGGTCCATGGGCCAGGATAAACGGAGTGGACGGAAGGACGACATCAATGCGAAAGGGGAGGAAATCCATGCCATGAACCCAACGCACTGTTTCTTCTCCGGGGGGACATTTTCACAGTCCATACCGTGCAAACAGTAAATGGTTTAGAAAATGCCTTTTGGGAGTTTAGTGCTTGCAGTCCAGCGCTGTCGTTTGGCTTTAAATAACTGAATATGTAAAAGTTTTCAGAATCAAAATGAAGTCACTTCGGTCAAGCCCTAACCAAAATGATAACAAAGCAAGAAGTTTGTGAGGGAGGGGATCTCATGCGTGTATATCTGACGATGAGAACTATTTTAAAGGCATCTGCCAGAACCAAACCTTACACCAGTGCCACTATCTTGCACAGGAAATACCTGTGTCCCACCTACATCCTGTTTCTGTCCTCTTCCACCAAAATCCCAGCTTCCCTCTCCAATCTCCCTACTTACCTTGAGAACGTTATTTTGTGTGGTGGATTATCTACATGTGAGACTGAGTTTTCAATTATGTTTGTGGCTTTTAGTCTTTAGGTTATTGCAGTGGGGTGGGGTATGGTCCTATTGTTTTTGTAAGTACAAGTGACATGGGGACCTAGCTGGGTATTCTCTGAAAAGAAGATAAATTTGTGTGGACATTTGCACGTATGTTTAATATCCAATACATGGCCTGCATCTACTTAGGATAGACAGTTGGGAATGGGTAGAGCAAAGGAATGTGTGTGATTTGTTCTCTACTAGCAATGAATTAGCTTATTTATGGACTAATGCCAGTCATTTTGTAACAAATTACAGATCATAAGTTAGCACTCTCTATGGTTTGGTGAGCAAGTATTTTATTCTTTGAGACAGTAAACTCAATCCTTTGCCCTAGGACCAGATAATTCTGAGTGCTGAGCCATGCACCTGTATGGGACCAACAATAAGAATGGAAGGACTGGAAAAATGTCATGCAGTACTCAAAGAAAGCAGTCATGGGTTTAAAAGCAATTGATACTTTGCTTTCTGATAAGTGAAGGGCAGCTTTTCCAGGGAGAGGGAGGTGGAGAGTATGTGTGCACACATGGAATACTTTTGACTGTCCTGTATGTTAGCAAAGAAGTTTATTTAGATAAACTTTATGTATTCTTGTCTTTGCCCCTCTTACTGTTCTCTCCCTCTCATCATGCCTGATGGCGGTGGGTACCAATTCTT